GTACTTAAAAGAATGAGGCAATGCATAATGCGTATGGTGCTACAACCAAGAAGAGTCTCCTCCACCTGTGCTTTGAGACTGTTGACCATGCGGGAACCTTACGGTACGACTGATTCCCATGTCAGAAAATGTTTGAGGTGGGCGCTCGAATGACCTCCGGGTCACATTCCATGCAAAGCGACTGTGCGGTCATGCTGACCATGTAGATGTTTAAATAAGAAAAAAAAATGGCAATCAGTAGCGGATGGAGGGGGGAGAAGAAGGAGGTTAGGGGTAAAAAGAACTTGTGCATGAGGTACGGTCAGCTGGGAAAGTGCTTGAAGGTGGGTGTGTGCAAAGAATTGAAATATGTTGAAGAGATGCGTGTGTTATCTTTTCTCCTCACCACTAACCATCCAGTACCTCCCCTTGTGGTGTGTCGTCACCAGATGATCTCAGGGCCTGAGAGGAGCTGCAGGAGAAAATGGGAGGAAATCTGATCCATATGGTGGCACTATAAAGGTCGTCGCTGATTTGCAGCCTTCATCAAAACCTGGTCAAGACTTCATCACTTACTCATGACTAGGACCCTCCTCTTGCACCTTGTCACAGTGCACTGAATGTCTCACCAGTCTCTCTCTCCAGCAGAACCAGTTATCTGCCTGACCCTTGGGGTGAGGGGTTCATTGCAGCAACCTTCAAAACCGATTCTTCTTTGAAAGGTAAAGTCTTTGCAAGTTGGAAAGTTTTTGAAGATTTCTCATGTTTTGCATGAATTAATCACCATGTCCCTAATTTCTTTTTATGTTGCCTCAGATATGAAGATACTGGGTCCATTTGTTTTCTTGCTCTTGCTTGGGGGACTGTGGTGTCAGAACAACCGTAATGCTAAAGCTACTGGAAAGTCCGCAAAGAAGTCTAGTGGGATCCAACAAGGTGATGCTGGCCAGTCTGCCTCCGCAGCTGATGTTACTTCAGGAAGCACTGGAAGAACTGGAAGCACCTCCAGAAACACCGGGGGCTCAGCCGAATCAAGACAGGAAGGTGCTGCAGGGACTCGTGGAGCTGGACAGCAGACAGATGATATGAGGCTGCACTACCTCACAAACACACAAGTTACATGTAATGATGGGACAGTAGCTGGGTGAGAAGTTCTGGTTGTTTTTGCTCTTTAATGTCTGTTTGCTGATTGAGTCAGGGATTTTACAAAGATGGTTTATCTTCTGTTTCTCCTCATGCTCATTCATTTGTTCTACAGGTTTTACCTAAAGGAATTCAGAGGAAGCCGCCGATGGTTGTTATTTCTGGAAGGTGAGTATTTAAAACCCCATATGGTTAATTTAGTCCCCTAAGGTCAGATTGTTTTAGCGTGACACCCGCTCATTGGAATCTTAATGTGGATGTCATCTTGTCCTGTCAACTTTTTTGGTTGCTGCGTGTCACAGACTTGAAATGAGGTTAACACCGGTGGAGCGTCCTCCAAATTTACTTGTACTCTGATATCGAACACAAATAATTTTCCTGCATGTTACTGAGTGACAAATCAGCAAAAATGAGCAATCTGCATGCTGACAGTTTGTAAATTAAAGAGATCATTCTAGTCTTTTGCTCAACTGTGAATTATTATTGTTATTATTATCTTTTTTTCAATTTTATTTATATAACACCAAATCACAACAGCAGTTGCCTCAAGCTGCTTTATATTGTAAGGTAAAGACCCCATAATAATACGGTTAATGCACACTATGGTCATGTTAGTGTAGCAGCCTGCAGGTGCAACCATTGCTTTCACCATTCCTCACAGGCCTGTGTGATGGGCTAACAAGGGTGTCCCTATCTTGGATGTGAATGTCTAATATTAGTGTCTATTATATTTAGGTGGCTGGTGCTGCTACAGCAGAGAGACCTGTGATTACAGGTACCAAAATATCCCCCGACTAATGAGCTCATCGGGGTGGCCTGAAACTAAAAGAGGTTAGTCAGCCGACAGTGTTTCAGAATGCCTTTCATAGACGTTTCCACAGAGTTGCTTTCTTTGACTAGTGAGGCAAGTGGACATCTGTTTAATGAGCGATTGTTGGATTTACAGGAAGTGGAATATTATCTTCTAAAGCTGAGGACAACCCACACTGGCATAACGCAAATATTGTGTAAGTACCTGCATAGATGTGCTTTGTATTTTTGCGGTTAATGAAGGTGTATAAAGACAACTTTTTCTTTGTTCCCATAGTTGTTGTATTAATTAATTTTATACATAATGGGAGACACTGCAGGGGAGTAGGATTAAACATTCAACTTACAAATATGAAGACTTATTTTTTTGTATTATAAATTTTCTGAACTTTGATGTTTGAATAAGTAAATGAAGTGTTATCTTACTAAATAGACACTTCATAAACACATGTTTGTACATCAGAATGAAACATTTTTACATCAAGATCTACTGTCACTTTATATATATTGAAACCCTCTTGGCAGAAAAATAATTTTTAGGGAAGAATATTCAGTAAATCAAGATATAATTGGTAACATTTATGAAGAATTTCTTTGTAAAAACCTTCG